GTGGATTATCTAAATAACCAAACTGAGCCGCTAAACGAAAAGTTTCGCGAGGACTACGTACTTCCTTTCCTTCTTGAGTTAAAAATGCTTTGAGATCTGATTTGGATACTTGTTTGATTTGAGTCAGGTCATTCAATAATTTTTGCGGAGAATTAAAACCGGTAGAGTTATGACCATTAAATAAAATATAATATATAAATACTAAATATTATCAATTGCCTATGACCAAAACGATACCAAATATCTAACTAGTATAATTATTTAAATTCAATCACTCCTAGTTAGATATAAGTGCTTAAAAGCTTAAGAGTGATTGTAAATATAAGTTTTTAATAATACATAAGTAAATATTTGAAAATATGACTAAAATAAAAATAGCTGACCTTACTGTTAGCACAATAGAAAACAATAGAAATAAGAAAGTAAAAGTAGGTAGCAAATTAAGATTAATTATTCCTCTTAAAGAAATGTCGAGTGAGTATTGAAATAAAGTAAAAGTAGGTAATAATTGAGATAAGGAATATATTTCATTAGATATAGGACGCGGACATGCTTCTCCAATTTCAATACCAATGATGGAAAATCATCTAACGAATCCATGAGACAAAAAATTCAAGTCTACAGAAATTCTTGAGAATTATAAAAAGTATACTAACGAAAATGAAAAATTTATAAGATTTAGTAACCACAGGGGGAAACCAGCTATAGAAATTAAGAACATTAAGGTCGATGATTATTTCGTTTTTTATGCTCAAGAAGACAAAACCAAAGGACTTCACACTACCAACCAACTAACCCAACTTTTAAAAGATGCCAACAAATTATTCATCAAAGATGGACACGGCAAAGTAACTAGTCAAGAAGCCTTCGAATTCCTTCAATCCATCATTGAATCAAAAGAAATCAAATCTCAAGTTAAATTTAATCAAGGCGATGAAATTACTTTGGGAGAATGATTAAAATATCGAGATAACAGTAACAATAATGACCAAATAGAAGTTACTGAACAGGAAGCGATTGAATTAGGAGTTAGTATCCAACAACCCCCTCCTTCCCAACCAGTAGTTACCCAACCTACTTCACC